TAAATATCTTAACAAGCATTTATTGGAAAAAAGTTAAAAAAAGAAAAAAAAATTAATAATACAATAAGTATATTTGTTGTAAGCTAAGCAAAGGCTGGTCAAACGCACACTTAAAGAAAAAAGTAGCAACGCATAGAAATAAGTGCACAGCAATTTGGTCAAGGTGCCGCCGAACTTGCTCTAATGGCACAAGCATATTTTTTTAACATATTTTTTTTTTCTCTTCTCTAATGCATACCTACATTTTTGCGAAATAATTTGTACGCGTACTCTTTTTATGTTACATATTTAATTAGATTTCAGCTCTGTTGCCTGCTGGTCAGTAACCCACAATATTTTCGCTCTTTCGTTGGTGCAAACCAGTAGTTAAATGCAAGTATAACATTTATTTTGACCGCCTGTGGGGTCATGGTAATGAAATTTTTTTTAAAATTTATTTAATTTTATTTTTTTTTTGGTGATTTACTTTTGAACAGGTGTTACTTGTTTTAAATAAAGTTTAGAAAATAACTACAAATTTAAACTAAAAGTGTAAATTATAAAACGCAGAAAATAATAAAAAAATACAAAATTCAGAATTTTATTCGAAAATTTTAAAAAAATATATAGTTTCTAAATATGTTTATTAAGATTTTTAATATTTTTTTGTTAAAACTATATTTAAAATTAATAAAAATTAAAAAAAATATAATAATAAAAAAATATCATAAATATAATCATAAATATATATATTTCATGTTACTTCAATTTAAAAAACGGAAAAAATAATAGAAGCAAAATAATTATTTTTTAAATTCTGTCTTGAAAAAATTAAGTAAATTTTGTAATTTAAAAAGTATTATTTGATATTTTTAAATTTTTTTCAAATAGCTTTTTATCTAATTTATCTTTAAGCAAGTTAACTCAAATCAAGTGAACAACTGGTTATGTGTTTTAAGTAAAGTTTTGAAATATAAAATTATTTCCAAATTAAAAAAAAAATTAAAATATAAAACGCAGAAAATAATAAGCATTAAAAATAATAGTTGCTAAATTTCGCTCAAAAACTGTAAAAGTGTATTAAAAAATATTGAAGAGTTTTTAAATTATTAGTAAAATTAAAAAAAAAAATTTTCGCATATTTAATATTAAAATTTGACACATAAAAAATAAACACTTAAGCTTTTGATCATTAAATTCTGTTTGTAATAAAAAAAACAAATACTCCTTATTTACCAATTATAGTAAAAAATATTTGAAAATTGAATAAAAATTAAATTCTAATTTGTCATAAAAAAAAAATGATAAATATTTTTAAATAAAAAATTAAAAAAAAATTTCTTCATATTTGAAAAATGAAAAAGACGCATAAGAACCATTTTTTATATTCTGTTTGTAATAAAAAAAAATAAGGTTACCAATTTTAATGAGACAAATATTTAAAATTTTTTATATTGTGAAAATAATTATTGTTGAAAAAATTAAAAAAATATTTTTTCCATCTTTATAAATGAAAAGAAGTAAGAATTATTTTTCGAATTTCAATTTTAATAAAAAATATTATGTAAATAAATAAAATTAGTAAAATTTTTTTTTGTATTTTTTTCACCCAATTTTTTTACCCATAATCCAAATATGTCTATTAACTATCTCATTTAATTACAACACTGACCTTTCTGCTGACAAAGAATTCAAATATAATTGGAGTGACAAGCAGAAAAATATTTGGACCAAAAAAAAAAAAAAAACGAATGCCAACGCAAATGACTAAAATAATTATGTGCACAAAAATGTTTTAATTTACTAAATATTTTGTATGCTACACACACACATGCACACATTATGTTGTTGTAATGCTACTGCTGCTGCCTAAGGCTACAGTCAGATCTCGGCAACATTAAAAACGATTAACCTGCCAAGTTAAAAGTGAGCCAACAGCAACACCAACAACAAGAAAATCAACTGCTGCCGGACACATCCCACATAAGCAGAGTGAGCTTAAATGCAAATAGTTAAATTCATAAATACGTATATACGTATGAGCTTAGATGAGTGTCTGTTTGTGCGCAATTAAAGCGTGAACATATTTCTATTTGTTAAGGTGGGCGAGTGGTCAATTTTTTTTGTTGCTGGCTGTTTTTTAAATAGAATATGAAGAAATTTTTGTAAAAAAAAATACAAATTTAAAAGAAAATTTGTACTTTTAACGGTAATTTATTTTAACATAATTTCAAATTCATGTTTTTTAATTTATCTTCAGACAAAAAAAAATTCTACTAAAAAAATGACTACGACTAATAGGAGGTCAAATAGGAGGAGATCAAAATAGATTACCGTGTCCTACAGAGGTAATCTGGCGACCGATGCCCAGAGTATATTGAATTTATGGAAGGAATACTATTCAAGTCTGCTGATAGTGCAACATTGGGAAATGGTGAACCCGATTTCGAAAACGATTACGACGGAACAGATATTTCATTCTACAGTGGGCGCCTATAAACCTGTTAAAAGTCGGCTTAAATCGCATAAAAGGCCCTATAGAATGTATATGGTGAAAGACTAAAACTCTTCGTTAACGAACTGATTGGATCTTATGAGACTTTAGATTTTTAAATCAACCACTGAACAGATATTCACCAAACTAATTTTGGAAAATTTTCAGGCAAAGAGAATCGACACCCAACACTTTTTTGTTAATCCAAAAATTGTATGGCTGCCTAAACTGACGTTAATCAACACCAAAAGCTTTGTCAGGGTTGAGGAAGGAGCTCTGCAAGCCGTTCGATACCAAATGAGGTGAAAAAATACGAGCTACAGAGTGAGCTCTCTCGGCGTACTAAGACCAAGCTCTACAAATCACTCATCGTTCCCGTCCTGATAAATGGTGCGGATGTATGTACGGAGACAACATCTGATGAGTCGGTCATCTACGAGTTATTTTGCCGTTGGAGTGGTGAGCTTTATCAGATATATGGTGGCATTGACAGAGTTCAGCGGATGAAGAGACAGCGGCTACGCTGGCTAGGATGGAAGAAGAATAATAAAATTTCGGAAGTTTTCGAAGCAGTAGCCGGCGTTGGAAGCAGTGGAAGAGGATGATCTTTGCTCTGTTGAAAGGACCAGGCATAGAAGGAGTTGCGACTTAGAACAAATTAAAAATGAAAGGCACATTGTTGCTGTCTCGGCTATAAACGTGTGAGCGATGAATCCGCCATGTATTTTATTTTATTTGCTTTATTTGTTTTTTTATATTATTTAATTTCGATTAATTTAGTTTTATGTTTTATTTTATTTTATATTATTTAATTTAATTTATTTTATTTTGTTTTATTTTACTCCATTTTCTTTTATTTAAATAATTTATATTATTTTATTTTATTTTTTATTCTATTTTACATAATTTTCAGTTTTTCATTTTATATTATTTTGTTCTGTTTTCTTCTCTTGTATTTTGTTATTTTTTTATTTTTTTTATTTTAGTTTAGTTTAGTTTTATAATTTTATTTCATTTCATTATATTTTATTTTATTTTATTTCATTATATTTTATTTTAATTTTTTTATTTTAAATTATTTTTTTTTTTGTTTTTTATGTTAGTTAATTTTTTTATTTTATTTTTTTATTTTTTTTTTGTTATTTTATCTTACATTATCTTCAGTTTTTCATTTTATTTTGTTCTGTTTTCTTCTCTTGTATTTTGGTTATTTTATTTTAGTTTTATAATTTTATTTTATTTCATTTTGTTTTAATTAATTTTATTTTAATTAATTTATTTTCTTTTTATTTTTTATATTAGTTTATTTTTTATTTCTTTTTATATTATTTTATTTTATTTAATTTAATTTTATTCTATTTAATTTTAATTTATTATAATTCGATTTTATTTTATTATTTTATTTTGTTTTTTTTTGGTCTTTTTTTATTTTCATTAATTTTATTTTTATTATTTTTTGTTTATTTTTTTTCATTCATGTCTCTTTTTATATAGAATGCTTGTGTACGCATACAAAAAATTAACGTCTTATTAGCTCTAGCAAATGGTAAGTGCAAACATAAGTAGCCAAGTGCCTGCCGATATGTCGCAAGTGTACTAAAAAATCTTACATAACAGAGAACAAAGTGTACAAATAACAAAAAAAAAGTAGCACAAAAAGTGGCTGCAATAACATGGATATCTACTTTGTATGTGTATATATATATCTATATGTACACATATATCTAAACGTATATATTAAGTACATATGTATGTACGTGTAAACTTTCTTGTATACTTAGTTTTTATATTTGTTGTGCCAAATTACTTTACAGTTGAATTAGTAAACTAATCAAATCAATTTACTTACAAGAAACACATACATATATACGTAATAAAGGCACATACATATATTTGTATGAAATTAGCACAGGTTTGTTGCTTAAATCTTTAGTTTGATTTTCAGCAAACTTCTATGACAGCGTGTTTGTGTAAACAAGCATTCATATATGTATATATGCTTAAGTACACTTTTCGAAAATATTTATATACAAATGTATGTTTGAATATTCTGTTGAGATGAAGTTCATTCATCGGATATTTCTACTCTGTAGCAGAGAGGAAGCTCGTTCGATAATCACTTCAGTGGTTACAAATCGCCAATTATAAATACATATTACAGATTTGCATTGTTTTTTCTTTTGAGTAATATATTAAAATAACTCTAAAATATCTTCAATTCACTATAAAAGTTTTTGAAATTTGGAATTTTGGAAATTCGTTTACTCAGCATGACACGAATGGGCTTAGAGCAGTTACTAAAATTAATTTTTATTTTCCTAAAACTAAAAAAATTGTCGACATTTTTCTCAAAATTAGTATTTATGTAACTAATAATATAAAATTTATTAATTTACTTAGTATTTGATTACTATTTTAAAAATAATCTTACGACTTTCCAATTATTTATTAAATTTTATAATTTTTCCCAATTTTTTGTTATCATATTTTTCCTATCTTTGATTAGAAAATATTCTCCATCACTTACCATGATTAAATCACCAGTTTCCAGATGACGACGCATTAATATGGCCGCCATATTGGCTTCGTCTTGATATACTTCACCAATTTGTTCACTGGATTGAGTATCCTGTAATTGAAAAAGAGAGAGAGAAAATTATAATAATTTAAAAAATAGCAAAAGTAATACAATGGGAATGTTGCCTATTAATACTGCGAAAGCAAATGAATATATTACACTTTTTTATAAATTTCGAAAGAGAAATATTGATATTTTTTATCTTTTCAATATAAGAAACTTGAAACAAATTTTTTAATATTTTTTTTTTAATAAATTAAATATTAAAAAGATCATTGAAAAAAACAAGAAATATATTAAAACAAAATAAACAAAATAATATATAATAAAATAAGTATGATAAAAATGTTTTAAAACAAGAACTAAAATAAAAAAAAATAAAAAAAATAATAAAATGAAATAAAATTAAATAACATAAAATAAAATAAAATAAAATAAAATAAAATAAAATAAAATAAAATAAAATAAAATAAAATATAATAAAGTAAAATAAAATAAAATAAAGTAAAAGAAAATAAATAAAATAAAATAATATACAAAAATACTGAAGCCATATTTTCATTATCCACTCTGCGTTAATTGCCATAATGTGGTAATATTTCAAAATTGCAGCAAAATAATTTGTCACGCATGACAACCAAATGCCAAGTGTAATTCAAATTTTTACCACTCAGACAAGGTAAGCAACGTACACTTGAATAGAGTAATTCTGGCTTCGACTAAATTTCAAACACTACTGTTGTTGGCTAAAATATATACCTGCGCATTCAAAAATTAAAAGAAATAGATTGGACATAATCATAACAATCAAATTGCGCACATTTGATTTTGAACATTAATGCAATTTGTTGCGGCCACTTCAGAGTGTGCAAGCAGGCGCACCACTCCAATTATGTAAGTGTTTTCGAAGTGCTGAAAACACCCGCCCAACTACAAGTAACTTGCTTCTCTGTTGTATTTCAATGCCAATTCGTGGGATATAAATCAATATTTATAAAAAAAAGGACAGAAAAAAATTCTTGAAATTAACGGAACAAAAAATAATAAAAAAAATTCGAAAAATGTAATTTCAGCAAATATTTCGAAGAAATATTTATAGGCGCAGTAAGCGAAGGATAATAAAAATTTAAAGCTGAAATCAATGTTGTTTCATTTACAAAGTGATATTATACAAAATAAAAAATATAAAATAAAAATTAATTAAAAAACAAATAAAATACAATAAGAAATGAAGTAAATTAAAATAAATAAAAATAAAATAAAATAAAAAAAAGTATATTAAAAAAAAATAAAATAAAATAAAAATAAAAAAAAATAAAGTAAAACAAAATAAAATAAAATAAAATAAACAAAATTAAAATAAAATAAAATGAAACAAAATAAAATAAAAAAAATAATTAAATCAAATAAAAAATAAAGTAAAACAAAATAAAATAAAATAAAATAAAATAAAATAAAATAAAATATAGTAAAGTGAAAAAAATTATATAAATTAGAGAAAGTAAAATAAAATGAAATATGAAATAAACTAAAATTAAGTTAAATGTAATTAAATAAAAAAAAATAAAATAAATTCAAACAAAACTAAACAAAATTAAAATAAAATACAATAATTAAAGTGAAAGAAAATAAAATAAAATAGTTTTCGCTTGACCATTCATCAATCACTGGACATACAAAGTCCAAATTAATTATTACACTGCATTTTTTCTTCCAAATATACAACTTTTAAATTCAGTAATTAAATATCACTCCAAATTATAATTAATAGCACCTGTTCTAGCACTCTAACCTTCTCCTGAAACCCACTAACAAAGAACACAAACGCTTATCAAACACTTAAGATCATGTCAGCTTGTTGTTCTTGCAATGTGTTTATGAAAAAAATTAAATTATTTGTTTTTTGAACGTTGACCGCGAAACGTGTTAAATCGACACGATAACTGGCTTATTTGAAAACAAAAAAAAAAAAATAAAAATCATAGAAACTCTAAATACTCTAATAATAAATTATGACTTTTGTTCAAAAAAAAAAAGAAGAAAATTAAATACAATTCAAATTTTTAACGGCACATTCTTGCTTAAAGTTTATTGAGTTGATTTTTATGCATGTTTTTTTTTTCATTGCACCCTCAAATTGTTGCTTAGTTGCCGGTGGCAACCTTGATCATTGGCCGCAGGCAATGAATAGATCAACAAAAATATCAAAGTTATAGAACAAGCAATTACAACAACGATAACAACAAAAACAAAATACATTAACAGTCATTGGCATGGCACAATGGCTAGAGATAATAATAAAAACCACATGCATTTAAGCCAAAATAAATACGACCTAATCTTGAAAAGAATTTGTAAGAAGTCAGCGGCAACAACAACGACGATAACAACTACAACAATACAACAGCAGTAGACTACAAAATGAATGCACAGCAAATCTAAACGATTTTCAACACCAAAAGCGGCAAGTGCAGAGCGTACATATACACTGTTATATAAACATACATACATATGTAAATACATATGTAACAGATATAATAAAGTTGAACTACATATAAATGACATTGTTTTTATTCTTTTTTTTTTGTTCTTCTAATGTTCACTGGTCAACTGGTCAGTGCTAAGCACTTAGCCATGGGTAGGCAAAACGAAACTAAAAAAAATATTTATGTATATGTGATTTTTTTTTTTCAAGAACTTGCTAACAGTTTGCTTCATATGCACTTTTTGTAGTTGTTGCGTTTTTTTTGTTTTTTTTTTGCTTGTGTGTGTGTGTGTGTGTTTCGGAGGTTATTAATGGTGACACTTGCAATGCTGCTGCTTTTGATGGCTGTTCTTTACTCGTTTGAAGTGTCAACGTCCAAGTGCAACGCTGATGGAGCATTAATGTATGCTTTTCAATGATTTGTTGTTGTTTTTGTATTGTATTTGTATGAATACATTATTTTCTGTTTTTATTGTGAAACCTAATTTTTGGCTCTTTTAATGGTGCATATAAATTTTCATTTTTTACAAAAGCAAACGCGATTTGTGACCTTCTGAAATATTTACAAAAATTAAGAAATGTCAAATATTAGTTTAGTTTATTGAAATACTAAAACTCAAAAGTGTGTAAATATTGAGTTAAATTTATTTAAAAATAATTAATTTGAATTTTGTTTTGCTGCTGTTTTCTATCACTTTCTTAAATTTTTTTTTTAATATTAATTTTATTTACTATTACTTTACACTCTTTTATTCAACTATTTTATTTTTTTTTAATTATTTTTTATTTCATTTAACTTCGATTTATTTAGCTAAATTTTATTTGGTTAAATTAAAAAAAATAAAATTAATTTTAATTTCATTAAATTTTACCTCACATTTTTTGTTTTATTTCATTTAATTTAATTCTTTCTTTTCCATTATGATATTTTCTTTTATTTTTTTATTTTATTTTACTTTATTTTAATTAATTATATTTTATTTTATTTTTTTTATTTTGTTTTATTTTATTCGGTTTTATTATATTTTTTTATTTTATTTTATTTTATTTTATTTTATTTTATTTTATTTTATTTTATTTTATTTTATTTTATTTTATTTTATTTTATTTTATTTTATATTATTTTATTTTATTTTATTTTTTATTTTATAATTTATTCGGTTTCATTCAATTTAATTTTATTTTTTCATTTTATTTAATTTTTACTTATTTTATTCATTTCATTTTACTTTATTACTTTTTTCAATTTATCATAATTCCATTTTATTTTATAGTCATATATTTTATGTATATGTTTTATTAAATTCAGACTTATTCCATTTAATTTAATTTATTGTTTTTTATTTTAAGTTTTTTTTATTTTATGTTTTGTTTTTTAAATATTTTTTTAATTTTATTTGTTATTTATATATTATTTTTTTATATATTATTTAATATTTTTTTGACTTATTTAATTTTATCATAATACATTAATTTTTTTAAATTTAATTTTATTACATATTTATATGTTTTATACATTTAACTTATTTAATTTTTTTTATTTTGCTTTATTTACTTTTTTAATTTTATTTTGTATTATTGTATTTTATCTTATTTTATTTTATTTCTTTATTATTAATTCTTTTTATTTTATTAAATTTCATTCACTTTTTATTTAAATTTTTTTTTTAATATTTTTTATTTGCTTTTATAATTTTTTCTTTAATTTTGTCTTAAAATTGTTAAATTAAATTAAATTTATTTCATTTCATTTTATTTAATTTAATTTTTTCGAAATCTAATTTCTTTAATTTAATTTTATTTTTTGTATTTAATTTTTTTTATTTCTTATTGCTACTTTCCGTTTTATTTAACTTAATTTTTTATATTATTATTTTTTTTATACCGAAAAAATAAATAAAATTGGTTTTATTACGTTTTAATTTCTTTTTTTATTTTTTTCAAATTTTTTTTTAACTTTAATTTATTTTATTGGACTTTATGTAATTTGTTCTCTTTTTTTAATATTTTTTACAGTTTCTTTCTAGTTTATTTCATTTAATTTAGTTTTTTTGTAACTTTTTCTTCTATTTCTTTTTTTAAATAAAAGAAATTAAAATGAAATAAAACAAATTTTATTAAACCAAACACCAAATAAAATAAAATGAAATAAAAAAACTTTAATTAAACAAATATAAAGTTTGTTTTATTTCATTTTAATTTCTATTATTTTTTTTCAATTTTTTTAATTGTTATTTTTTTTGCATTTTGTCTAATTTGTTTACTCTTTTTATATTTTTAATAGTTTATTTATATTTTATTTTTTTTCTTTTTTTTCTATTCTATTATTATATGTTTTTCACTTTCATTGGTTTTCATTTTTTTAAATTTTATATAATTTTTTTTAACTTTTTTTTATATATTTTTTTATATTATATTAATTAATGTTTTATTTAATTTTTTTATTTTTTTTTTATTTTTTATTATATTTAATTTAATTTGCTCCTTTTTGTTTTGTTGTTTTCTTATTGCGTTATATTTCATTTTAGTTATTTTATTTTAAAATTCACCCACAAACATTATTAGG